ACTCATTCATAAATGATTATGAATAATGAATGAGTTCTGGAACTAAGTTTTATTCTGAGTCATCTGTCAATGATGGTTTTGATTTTTGAAAATTATCTCCCTTTCTAATAGTGCAAATGGACGCGAACAAGTCCAATCTACCATCTTGAGCTTTAATATCAATAATTTATGACAACTGCTAGAAATGCACAAATAATTATTGATTTGTAAATTAGGACCAGTCTCCCCGGTGGATTTAAGAAGGGCATAGCAGTCGCACAACCCCTCTCATTCTAAACCCCAATTTGGCATTCTGTACACACGAATATTGAGTGCTGTCAGATATTTTGTCCCCTCCCTCGTTTAATTTCCTGGATTCGCACTTGGCCCAACTTACCAAGATGGCAGCATTACCTAAGTAAATTGATATTCTGCTCCCAAATTCATTGGCAAACTACCTAATATACTTCCTAAAATGTTCATACACCTGCCATTTTAACATCGTCATCATTCGCTATTTTTGATAAATGCAGAATCGACCAAGACCGCAGGTAATTCCTCACCTGTTAAATATTCTTCGTCATTTCTTCATGAATCTTAATATTTTTCCTGATCAACTAAGGAACTAACCGACGAAACCACTGCGTGGCTTACAGTGGTTAGGAATCTAGGTCCAGGGCCTTTCTTTCTATTTATATGCTTGTCACCCCAGCCCTTCCTTTCTCCCTTAGTTGCCCCTTCCTCTATCAAGTCTATGGGGGCTATGTTGATAATGGCTTCATTCCAGGAGCAGTACTGAAAGACTGTTGGACAAAAAAGTAACAAAATGATGTAGATGGATGTTACCAGCCCCCCCCCCCCCACCCCGCAAGCCCCCACCCCTCCCCAGCATGCAAGCCACGGGTGATCTTTCTTTTATTTCTTCGTTTATTTTCCACGTAACCCTAATTTTGGATCCATGATGGAAGCGAACAATAAATTGGGTACTTGCCCCCTCCTCTCTCGATCCCTCTCCCGCTCTCTATCTCTCCATTCCTCTCTCACTCTCTTTTTCACCCCTCTCCCTCTCCGTAATAAACTATACAACCTCTTCCTATTTGTATATATATCAGAAAGGAATGCAAAAAAATTAATTGAACACGACCAAATGACCAAACTTCAAACCTTATCAAACTTAAAAGTCGTACTTTTAAATGCTTCATAGGCGTGAGGTTAAGAGGCACTGGAGGCATTGTATTTCGTGTCTCGGAATATGCTTAATGAGGAACCAATTAATTTTAACAGTTGTGTTTCATTAGTGATGGAAGGTTAGGGTATTTTGAATCATTTAGATAATCAGACGTCATGATTACGTCATAGTTAAACCAAGTAAGGGATGATTCAGACAACCTGTTTCAAACTTTTGATTTCTGCTTACTGCCTTTGTTCGGCTTTTTGAAAATGGAACATTATCAAGCGGAGGAGCATCTAAATTACGTAACACAAAATAAAATAAAATTGCTCTCACTGCTTTGCAAAAGAAAAGTGATGGGTTTTTCGATTATACAGGTAAAAGACATACAGAAATGATGATTTTGATTGTCTTCTCTGCTAGAGATGACTAATAAAGTATGAGAAGCTGAAGAGAGACGCTTCAAGCGGCTATAGAAGAAAAAGGGATTCAATCAAAGATGAAATAAAATAGCAATGAATTAATAAACACATAGACTGATACCGCCTGTGATGGAATTTGGAATGAATTTTACAAAATGGGGAAACTGATTTGGATTATAAATGTGATTGTATCTGTTTTTAATATCGAAAATGTAGTTTTTAAATCATTCGACATTACGACGTACTTTGCATGCAGACCAAAGAGCACGCGTTATTTCGGAATCTCTGCTAATGTCTCTTCATCTGATTATTTTCACGCCTGTCAAACATTTCTATCTCAGATAAAATAAATCCAGGTATTTTCATGTCCTATCGCCCAGTCCTCTCGCCCATCCGATCAGCCAGACAGGGTAACTCCTTGATCATTTGACTGGATATCCGCTGGAGCAATCAGATTTGAACACAAATCAAGATTGGATCTAAACTGACCATAGGATGACATTTATAAAATGTCTAATTGTCGAATGGCACCATATTCATTCGACTTTTTTTTAATATCTAGAAAAAAGTGCGTTAAAATGCCCATTATTGAGGGTAATGATGTATCTAACCATAATCATAGTCTCATGCACCTCCCTGATCCAACCAACTTTGACCAATATTGCCTTACTCAAGTAACACATAGCAGTTTGTCCAATCATGAATAATAATGAGCGATGCAATGTTCTGCCTATTTTAAACCATAAACTGGGAACAGTTTTACCCAAACTGAGTTTGAATAATATTACTGAAAGTTGGTTGGAAACATTATTACCTCGTGTCAGGCATTTTACGGACGTTTTTTTTTTTACAGTGCAGGCTAACAAGATCGTACTTATTTTCTCGCACTATACGATTAATTTGAATAAATATTTTGTTAAACTTTGTAAAACTAAACGGCAGCTTTTTTTAAAATCTGTTAACCTGATAGGGTTCGCGTGACTCTTCTAAATAACGGAGGGAAATATCAAGCCAAGGAAAACCGGTATGATTATGCTTTACAGCTAAAACACAGGTGAATTTATCTGCAGCAAGTCACGTACAAAAAGGTACAAGTTCCTGAGATTGAGAATTGAGAAGGAGGCAAAGGCGAGGGAAATGGACTATTTCCTGTCTAATGCCCTCGGTTAGTATGCTAACAAACCAGATATCCTAAATATCCTTTAGTTGGATTCGAACCATTTCTATTTCCCCCGATTCGATGACATATTGAAATTATTTTAAATTCTCCTGTAGGGGAAATATTTAAAAGGGGGTCACTGAATATAAACGTCCTAGGTGCGTTCTGTAATTTGAGAATTTTCAAGAAATCATATTTTTAGAGCTGAAGTTTAAACTGTTCCACCGTCGATATTCGAAAGATGTGATCGTGAAAGAGCAAAATCGCACAAGTGTGAATATTTCACGGATTAAATTGTTTCCAAGCTTACAGCACACAAAATAGTTTCTAGGAGTACTTGTATTGAAAGATTAAATTGCCGAAATATGAATTATGCCTTAGGCCTAAAGTAACGAAGAATTGAACATTCAAAGGGTTATAGGAGAAACAAATTGGTCCGACCAAACAGACAAAAACGACCAGCGTTGTCCCCTATACATTATGATCTTCCCACATGCAAAATAAATGCCATTTCAATGTTTAATTACATTCATGAACCTGACCAAAATGGTTATTGCCTGTAATATCAAAATAAATCAGCGAGTCAATGGGAATTGGTATGGTGATACAGAAAAGCTTTATTTTATATCAAAGCCAAATGCCAATAAATACGACGTATAATATACAGGAAATAAGATAGCGATTGGGAGGCAATTCAGGCAGACAGATGCAAACTCCACCAAACAAAGTCCAAAATAATGAAACCACAGTTTACAAGCTATGAAGATCCTGCATGGCAATATTTCTGCAAGTGCCATATGTAATCACAAATATCTCATCCGGTTGATTAGTTACCATGACAATGGCACATTATCCTGGATAAGCTTCAAGCCAAGAAGACATCTGTCAATCATTTAACTCTAAAAAACCAAGACTGTGAGATAACTGTAATAGACATGTTATTGGCTTGCAGCCTATATTTAATTTTATTTAATTATATGCACGACTTTCTTTCACATCTTTGATATACACCTGCAATATATAATAGCCGATACATATTTTATCATAGTTTTATATATAAATTCTGTATTTGGGAGTCATGATATCAACATGCAATAGCATAACCTATGTTATGATGACAATACATTTAAGTCGATCCACACAAAAAACTAATCCTCTTTTTGTTAACTCTGTACTTGGAAGTGATGATTTATCAACACATAATGAGTGTAGATTTTATTTTGTTTTGTATACATTCACATGTACATTCTGTAATATTATATCAATAACTTGGCTTGATAAAACAGCCAGATACAAATAATGACAAGACGTGTATTTATCTTAACTTCATTTTTCCTCCTATAAATGTGATGAACAAAAATATCATACAAATCATTGCACACAACTGAATGTGTTGAGTGGAAATGCTGATACGTCCAATACAAATTAAAGGTGATTATACTGAAACAGAATTTAAGGCCCGTTTTAATCTTTTAGTGGGTGGCATGACTGTATGGAGCAGGAAGCGAGGTGCATTATAATCTCCACGTGTATTTATTATCATCAAACATTATCCGCGTCAAAATAATGCGTCCATTGTCAAGAGCAACACAATTTATACACCAGCATATTCAATTTAATCAGAGACATTCACTAGACATTGTTGTCGTATGTGTAGTGTAGGCCTACATGAATTTTTACGATTTTTGTAATGTTACCTTTCTTTCACAAGAATGTATTGTTTATCCAATTTTGTTGATAATACTCTGACTCTGAGTACTCGTGATAATATAGTATTCAAAGCAACTTGAACATAATACATCTGAATATTAATATTGATATAGGCCTACATCAGAATAATGTACATGTAAATACTAGTTTGGTTTGGAATATTATCATTCATACAAATTAAGATCTTAAATTCCTGGTTGTTTTAATCTGGAAGCTGTGAATATTTACATATTTTAGTTAATTTCGTTCATGAAGAAATTTGGAAAACAAAAACATCCCATGATAACGATTTATTTGATGTATGTTTTGATTAGCTTTTCACTCTCCAGCACACATGAAATATCATGGCACCAACATGAGCTGAAAAACATCTTAGCTCGTTACAATGATGATACAAAACAAAACAAAAAAGAAACACAAATAAACAAACAAAACAAAACGAGTGAACCAATTCTGCTCTATTTAAACAACTTTACAAATAAAAAGTGATATATTTTGTCCAACTATATATTTCACCCATAAAAAACCTCTTACTCCATCTACTTTTATGCATACTCACGTGTATTGGCAAACGTTGATCCCAGTCGGAGAGAAAACACCATTAGATGACACCCTACACCAAAGACATGCTGCCAGAACAAGGAGAGTATTCACCCAATATAATAGTTCCATGGTTACTTTTGCTAATAGAATTCACACCCTAGAAACGTGCGCCGATGATAAACAACACGGTAGAGTAACTAAAACTGCTGGTTTTAGGCACATTTATGCTCGCTCACGACCATCTTTGAGCAAAATGAGATGAAGTCCAAAGCCAGAGCAGTCTTTTGACCAGTCGGTGTACAGAAAGTGCTGTTAGGCATACATCTATTCAAGCAGTGAGTATACTAGTAGGTAAATCCAAACAAAGAATGCCTCTGTTTGTTTGTGCGTTTACTGCAGTGGTATGCAATCATTAGAAATGACCTCCACACGCATATAGCGGGTGAGAGAGAGAGAAGGAGAGGAACTAACACAACCAACAGCGCAGCGTTGCCCACGCCAGACTTTCCCCGTAGAGTTATCATCAGCGAAGTGCAAAGACAGAACAGGCGGCTGGTGGACTCTGCGTGTGTGGGTTGCATTAGCGACAGTAAAGGAAGTCGCTGATTGGCTATTGATGATCAACTTGCTTCACGCGCGGGTGCTCACTGGCTGAAAGTTTCTGCGTGTACAGAGATTGTACTGTGAAGTTTTAGGTCCATGATTCCATGTACCCAATAAAAAGCTGTGTTTGGTAAAATGCATGCGCAATCCAGGGTGTTCGTTTAAATCTTTAACTTCCCAGGTGTACATTTCACCGTGTTGTTGGAGGATGATTATATTCATTTATTTATTTCTGGCATGTATACAGGGTAGCACATTTTCACCCGATAGTGTTGGTCTACCATGAGATCCTGTTTGGTAACAACAAACGCAATAACAATCATGATTATAAACTCATAGATACATAGATAGTTTCATGGGAAGAAAAATTACATTGTGGGAGATGAATAATGAACTCAGTAGCCCAAATGAACCGAATCAAATACATCCAAGGTGATATTAGAATAATAATTTGACATTACCACAAAATCAAATGTTGACCTTGTACATGGTAACTATTGACTTGGAATAATAGCAACAGGGAAAGAGCACTAAAATGGAATAGATTTCGAGAAGCGTTTATCATAGTGAGTACAAGCTGCGAAAAGAACGGAAGAGAGAGAGAGAGAGAGAGAGAGGGAGACTGATGAAGATTACTGGAAGAAGGAACAGCGTAATAAATAAATACAGATGAGACAAACAATGATACGACATGGAAACAAGTGATATTGTCACATTAAACAGTTTCTGTACAAACCAAACAATATAGAAATGATTGAAAAAGGAAAATCTAAAGTAGGCTGATCTTTCACATAGAATAATTGTCTGGACCAAAAGTACAATATTCTTTCTGTTTATGGACGACAAAAGAGGGCCTATAAATACTATGGGCATGACAAATCTGGCATATGTTCGCCATAGGACTTGTTTGTTTTTCTATCTCCGCTCTATATCAATAAAACTACAAACTCGTCTACATCGATTTATTCCATATGAGTGAAATGTGAATTTTTTTTTGTGTAGATTGTTTTTATAACGGAAAATTCAACGGGTGGCTAAATTTTACCTGTCAATTACAATTTAAATCTTTTATCTGCCCTCTTTTATATTCAACTTAGCCCTATAGGCTCAGAAGACAATTTTGTTATTTCTATATGCGCAGCTACGCAAGATTTTTCTATAATTTAGACCTCTTAATGTTACGCCCGTTACCCAAGATACGTAATTTATATCGCGTTGATACTCGCGCAAATCAAATCTGATGGAATTCATATAGAGCATGTGCCAGTAATTTAACGCAGTGCATTAGCACTGTTCATAAAATTCGCTTAATATCCGACGTCACTACAACATGGCACGTCACGTCAAAGACTATGTCAGTTGCTGACGTAGTCCCACGTCAGCAAAATGACTCTTGGTGCCTTTTGAGCAATGAACATGAATGATATTGATAGAAGAGAAATGAAGTAAATGAGAAATGCCGTTTATAATTTAATATCAGGCCTAAACCACATTGAATTTACAGGTTATTGCAGGTATTTTGAATTCCAAGTTCCGCATTTCAATGGGCAGGTTGCACAAATTTATTCTACTCAGTTTAGGTGACGGTTGATTAACTTTTGGAGATTTCGTGTCATCTGTTCGACAATATTTGATATTAAAACAATTCTGCTTTGTCCGCGTCTTATCAAGCACGACTAATTATACCAATCAAATATTTACACTCACTTGTTCTTTCTGCACAATAAAATAAGCGTGGGGAACGCAATTTTAATTTCCAATTTCAAGTCAAATGTCGTGTTTTACCTTGGAGCAAGTTGATTTTGTGGCAAGGTATTATTTGATATCACAATGTCATTTTGTATTCAGACAACTAACAATTGTTTTCTCTATTGATTTATGTGGTACATTAACACTATTGTATCATCCCTGATTATTACGAAAGATTGTTTTTCGTTGACATGCGATGAATGTCATATGATTTCGTGTCATATCTTTGTTTATACTGAGCGGTACATTAAACTACATTAACAGAAGGAAGATTCAGTCTGTTCCACTACACCTAACAATTTCCCTTTGTCTCGTCAGACATTGGCATCCATGATCTTCCCCGCCCGCATCCGGAGAGCTGCTTGGTGAATTATCGGGTGGGTTTGCATGGTGTAAAAATAAGGCATGAGTAATCGTTGGATGATTGTCCTGTAATGTCTGCAGCATATTGCGTGAGGATGTTCCGCGAACGGTTAAACTTTCCTTTTCATCTTCAAGGAAAGAGAAAGAATGAGTGAAAATCATTTACCCCCTTTTGGAGGCGTCGAGTACCTCTGAATTTGTGGTAAGGTTCAAGAAAGGCATGAACTCTAAAATCCTTGTGTCAAGCTAATCCTAAATCACGTCAATGTATAATAGGCACGACAGGTATTTTTTAGTATATACTTTGATTAAAGTCAGTATACACATTTATGGTACCAAAATGAGGTAACAATTTTATTCTATTCCACTCTTGTCAGGTCCCCAAAATCTCAAGTACCATGCAGCTCCATTCGTGAAGAATTACATTTTTTTGTTCATCTTGGATTCATAATCGGTAATGGCTGAGTTTAAAAGGTTTGTAAGATTCTGTTAAGCGTGCATTCTTTTTGTTTCTTTTCGTCAATTGTCGTTTTTTATTTGGCGCATGCAGGGGTTCAATGTTAGCCTGCTGTTAAGGTTACCCGTCTTCATTAATTGTTTGAGGAAACAACACATAATAATATCATGTTCATGACAATTACTTAAATCTAGAGAAATGACCACAACTGTTGTTTAAATCATAACGGACATTTAAGTATACATCTTGTCAACAAGATAATGATTGTGATAAAAATCTGCCTTAAAAACTCACTCAACACTTTTGACATAATACGAGTGTATTCGAAATCACGACACATGCGTTTCAAACCCGGACACGTATTAGCGTCGTATCATGATCACAGGGATGCTTGGAATATTATGGTATCACATTTCTCTACTTTAACAGCTGTCTAATTACCTTCTAATTAATAGGAGATACATCTATCTCGTGGGGTAATCATCCCTCGCGCAATCACAGTTTAGAAATGATTGGCGCTAACTGCAATTAGTACTGGAGTTTAAGAGAGGAACACGAAAATCGTTTACTCGCAAAATGTTCGTTCTTTTATTTCGAGTCCGGCGATAAGGCAAATTACAAACGGGCCTAAAGAGCAACAATTACATGTATAATCTCCTAATCATGTATTAATTGTAGTCACATGTGAGACTTGGTTGTTTGTTTAATGCATCGTAATCTGCTAATTTGCTGCTTAAAACATCATAACAAATGGAAGACATGACGATTACAAAGGAATGTTACATACCAATTAACAAAAACGAAAACAGTAATAATGATAACATAAATGCAAATGTGTCATCTCGTTTTGTAAAGAGGGGTCGGATTAAATGTTCAAAGTTAGTTTTAAATTTTCTATCAAAAGTAATATTAAAATACATTTTGTTTAAAGAGAAAGGTCACCATATTATTATGAATTGGGTACACGCAAATACCTCATCATTCAAATTCAAAATCGAAATAAAGTTAATTTAAACAGTGGGGAAGTCAAGTGTCAGATTGGTCGGGAAAAAGAGAATTTAAAAATCATTTTTCCCGATAGAACATAATTATGAAAGGAGTTTCAGCACCCCCTTGTTGCATGTCACGTAATGAGTGATGACTGGTCTATTTTATGCTGCGGGATAGGAAGCTAACGATGACAAAGCAGAACATGACCTTGATCACTTACCCCATTCTTTACCCTCTCTTACCTCTTTCTTCCGTCTCTTTTTATTCCCTTTAGGAACTTTCTGTATCGATTCGGATACATTTTGAAAGTTCCAGGGTCCCTTGTCATCTATTTCGATCCCTCAGACGAATGTTTTGTTTGTCCTCAGTCTCTGTTTTTTGCTGGCCTTTTCTTTGTTTCTCAGTCTCTCTTCTTCCTTTCCATCTGTCCTTGTATGTCGCGCTTTCTGTGTCATCTCTTTCTGTACCTTCACCCACTCTCTCTCTCTCTCCATTTCCATTTTCTTTTCCTCCTGCCTCTGTCTCTCTCTCTCTCTCTCTCTCTCTCATCTCGTCTATCACTCCTCTTATCTCTCAGTCGTTGTCTGTCGCTTCATTTATTTCCTCTCTGAATTTATTCTTGCTTCTCTTTCACCTCCTTGTCCTCCTCCCCCTCTCTCTCTCTCTCTCCCTCCTTCACTCCCTCTCATTCTTCTCACACTTTCTTCCTGTCTATCTTTCCGTCATTCACTTTTTCTGTCATCGAATTGTCTCTGTCCCAAAGCAAGTAAGCATCCATTCAGGAAGTGTTGGAAAGGCGCATCTGTCTTCTTATTTTGTCTGATTTTATAAAGTATCTATTGTTTTTTATAATTATATTTATTTATTTATTGTTACATTGATTATCATTACTATTATTATTATCAGTATTATTATTATTATTTATTTTGTTGTTGTTGTTGGGGGGGGGAGCAATAAACAGAAAAGGCCTTTAGTAAATTCTGCTTATTTCTTCTTCGATTTCTTTCCGAGGAGGCGAAATTGGTCACCTTCATGTCTACTTAAGCATAATAGAATATACGGAGCATCTAACCGCTAGCACAGCGGAACAATTACTTTGGAAAGTTTTCCAAAGTTTGGGTCCGTATATGAGGATCTGTTAATCTATGATTAAGGTGGCTTGCCATAATCTTACGTAATGTATCATAATATGTGTCCTCCTATTTGCTGGCAGTGGTGAATGATATCAAGAGGCCTTCTGCCAATGGTTTTTCCAAGCCAAGACAAGTTTATAAGTCAGTCTCTGTCAGTCTCGTGCCCTATTCGCCCTCAATATAACCAGGAAAATCGTCTTGAAAGCATTCTTTCGAATGAAATTGCCGAAGAAGTAACAACTTATCCGAAATTTGTTCCAAGAAACAAAGACATGAAGAAATATATAAGAAGGCCTTCAGAATTTCAGATTTGTTGATAGAGGTATAAAAACACGAAGAGTAAA